AAATGCTTTTTATAATTTTCAGCCTTAGCCTTTTTAACCATATCTTTCCACAAAAAGAGAGCGTCCTTAAAAGCTTGAATATTGTTCAGGTTACAAAATCTATTTGGTTTCTGTCTAGCTGCTTGCATCCTCCGGAAGCATGCAGTAAGCTCATCCGTCCACCATTTTTTGGGAGTTCTATTTGACGAACATTTGTAGGTGACAGCCTTGATATTGTTCTGAAACGTTTTTTCAATTTATGGGAAATCAGGAGTTAATTCAGCACTTCCAAGGTTGGACAGTAATTTCTTTCTGGCAACAAAAGTATGCATTCTTGTTTGTACATTTAGAATTTCAATTAAAATAGGCTTATGATGACTTTTTCCAAGGTACACATTAAGTGTATTCCAGGAAAAGTTTGAGCTACACGCATTTACAAAGGAAAGATCTAAAACACTGCCGTTTTGATTGTGAGCTGCTCCTTGATTTTGATAAAAGGTAAAACTTTTGTTATTTAAACAATGAAAGGAGGATGCATTCAAAGCATCAACCAGAATTTTTCCCTTTGCACTAGTGAGCTCGTCTCCAAAAATTTCAGCACGAGCGTTGAAATCACCTCCAATAATCACATTGTTTTGTCGTTCACAGACAGTAAATAAATTGTCAATTTCATCTTTAAAGGTTTGTGTCGAAATTCTAGGTGCAAAATATACCGAAACAAAAATAAAATTTGGTTGCAAGTTAGTCGTAGTTATCACATAAATGTCTGCTGTTGAATGAAAATGTATTATTTTGAATTTAATATTGTTTCTGACAGCAATGGCGACTCCACCATATCCATCAGACCGAAACTTTGAAACCATGTTAAAATTTAGCAGCTTAAGCCTAAAATCATCTACGTTGATAGAAAAAACTTCATAAAAAAGACAAACATGTATTAAATTTGTATTTATGAACATTTCAATTAAATTCTTATTCGTTCTAAAACTTTGTAACGGGTGATTTTTTTGAGGTTAGGATTTTCATGCATTAGTATTTGACAGATCACGTGGGATTTCAGACATGGTGTCAAAGAGAAAGATGCTCAGTATGCTTTGACATTTCATCATGAATAGACTTACTAACGAGCAACGCTTGCAAATCATTGAATTTTATTACCTAGAAAAGTTGGCAGAAAATCCGTTTTTTTATCGACAAATTTTGTTCAGCGATGAGGCTCATTTCTGGTTGAATGGCTTCGTAAATAAGCAAAATTGCCGCATTTGGAGTGAAGAGCAACCAGAAGCCGTTCAAGAACTGCCCATGCATCCCGAAAAATGCACTGTTTGGTGTGGTTTGTACGCTGGTGGAATCATTGGACCGTATTTTTTCAAAGATGCTGTTGGACGCAACGTTACGGTGAATGGCGATCGCTATCGTTCGATGCTAACAAACTTTTTGTTGCCAAAAATGGAAGAACTGAACTTGGTTGACATGTGGTTTCAACAAGATGGCGCTACATGCCACACAGCTCGCGATTCTATGGCCATTTTGAGGGAAAACTTCGGAGAACAATTCATCTCAAGAAATGGACCGGTAAGTTGGCCACCAAGATCATGCGATTTGACGCCTTTAGACTATTTTTTGTGGGGCTACGTCAAGTCTAAAGTCTACAGAAATAAGCCAGCAACTATTCCAGCTTTGGAAGACAACATTTCCGAAGAAATTCGGGCTATTCCGGCCGAAATGCTCGAAAAAGTTGCCCAAAATTGGACTTTCCGAATGGACCACCTAAGACGCAGCCGCGGTCAACATTTAAATGAAATTATCTTCAAAAAGTAAATGTCATGGACCAATCTAACGTTTCAAATAAAGAACCGATGAGATTTTGCAAATTTTATGCGTTTTTTTTAAAAAAAAAGGTATCAAGCTCTTAAAAAATCACCCGTTAGTGGCGACAAATATTATGCAAGGCAACACATACATTAATTATTTTCACAACCTTTTTTGGCTTGTACTGCAAGGTTCCTAATAAAGACCGAAAACGAGTTTTAAGATCCCCAATTGTTCGTTCAACTATATTACGAGCCGAAGCATGTGTTTTGTTAAACGCGTGTTATATAGACAGTGGTTCTGGATTTCTATATGGTGTTAATAGAAAAGGTGCCAGAGCATACCCGGCATCGCCCAATAACCACGAATTGTGATCACCATCTCGATACTTCGTCATGACAAACTGTCTTGCATTGCTCATGCTCCATATAAAAAAGTCATGGCTAGAACCCGGATGACAAGCATCAATAGCTCTAATAACCATATTATGATCGCAAATCTGCAAAGTCTCCGCTCCATGAGCGTAATTATTTCTGAAATTATCTTGGAGACGGTGCTCCTTCCCAAAGCGATGCTTGAGTCCACTCCTACAGATCTTTGATACCCACCTTCGGCGAGGAATCGCAGCGTTGCTGCCAACTTCAAGACTGCGGGAATGGAGCTTCTTTTTACAAAAGGCTGCAAGTATCTCAAAATCATGAGGAACGCTTGCTTGTTTATTCTATAGAGCGCAATAAAGCTGTAAAATATAAATTAATAGTTTAAAATGGCGTTAGTATAAAAAACAACTTTTTATACTACTAACGCTGAGTCCGGTAATTCCATGGGATTGCTGTGATCGCGCAAAATTTTTCGCTTCACTTTTTCAGATGTTTGCTGCTCATTATTCAGCAAAATTGCCAATAAAACAATTGAACTCATGTTTATTTTCTCGGTTTTATTTATCCAAATGAAATTGACACACTTCAAAACAAAGTTGACAGATTGGAGGTTTGTTCCTTTTTTTTACACAATCGGATTCGATATTAACTTCGAAACAAAAGTTCCGATCGGGAATTGAATTCCGATTCCGATGCGATTCCGACTCGGATTGCAGAACAGGGCTGATCATTTCCACAATTGTTAGGGCAGTTGGAAAGAACTAGTTTCCAATCTGCACCTTCCCTTCTCATATTATTGCTTCAGTTGTTAGGGCAGTTGGAAAAGACTAGTCTCCAATCTGCACCTTCACTTCTCACATTGTTTGTTCAGTTGTTAGGGCAGTTGGAAAGCACTAGTTTCCAATCTGCACCTCTCTTCTCACATTGCTGCTTCAGTTCTTAGGGCAGTTGGAAAGCACTAGTTTCCAATCTCGTATTGAGGATTTGTTTCCATGCCGAGCCTCTATCTGATAGGTAGTGTTCGACAGTGATCAAGTAATGATCTCTGGAAGCTGGCAATGCTTTCACAATTTCTTGTTTGTGGCGGTAATTCGTTAAAACACTTTAATCCTTTGTAGAATATGTTCATTTTATCCACTTCTGTCCTATATAACGGCAATCTAAAGCTAATATTTTCCCTGAGTATGTATGAATGAGTTTCATTTATATATCTGAGATTGTCGCTCAGGTAGTCCGGCAACCGACCATTCTTTATATTGAACAAGAATTTCATGGCGTGATAAAAAATTAAGACTCAGCCAGTTCATATCGGCGAGCATCTCTCGTGTGGGTGCATCGTGACACTTATTCAGTATAAATCGCATTGCTCTGTTTTGAATTTTTTGTAACTTGTCGATTTGTGTATCGCTTGCCATGAAAAAGATCGTTGGACAATATGGCTGCGTTTCTTTATACATTCCGGATAATCCCATTTCACAGCCGGAATAAACAGAATGTGTTTGAAATATACGTTAACATATCATCAGGAACGTTCTAAAGAATAAGTAAACAAAAAAGTTTATTCCAAACGTTCAGAATGAATAAAGAAATTCAGCCTATATGAAGTGTGGTTCTATTATGGACCTATACACAAGTGTTTTATATCTTCTTCCTAGGTACTTACATGATATTTTCATGAGACCAATTTTTGTAGCAATTTTATTTACTGCATAGTCAACATGCTCATCGAATTTTAACTTATTATCAATGTATATACCTAGGTATTTAATGATTTTTACCTCCTCGAGCTTTTCATCTCTGATTTTTAAGCTATAGTTGAATGAGTTCGCATTAGCCACACTAGATAAGACCATGAACTGTGTCCTGTTCACATTCACTTCAAGTTCGTTTAAACATAACCATTTATATTAGACACTTATAAATGTATGTACATATAAATTCTGTACTCACCGCAGTGTGTGCTTCGCTGTTCTAATTCGATCGACGACTAAATCTAGTCGACATTTGCGCGAAAGAATTTGGCAATTTATATGCGCGCGCAATAGAACGGCGATTGACGCATTGCGGTAAGTTCACAAAATATGCACATAGTGAGTACATATGTAAGAGCGCAACAGGTTCTTGAGCATATTCACACTAAACATAAAAAGGGACAATGATAAATGCTGCAATGCGGTTACAAAGTATATATAAATATCAATTATATTGCATGTATGTACATACATACATGCATATGCGTACGGACAATCCGTGTACATATGCAAGTACATAAATGCAGGCGAAACTGGAGGAATGCGAATGCATAAATATACGTATACCCTACACATGACTACAGTGACTTTAAAAAACATGAAATTGTAATGACTTAAATTATATCGCGAAGCAGCAACAT